TTCTTGACTTTCACCACCACTTTTAGTTGTCTCCCTATCTTCTTCTTCAGTCCTCTGTTCCTTCGATGTTTTCACATATCCAGCCTTTGAACTTGCCTCTTTACTCAGTTTCAATTCCTCACCTTTCTTATCTTCTTTCCCCTCTCTCAGCCACAGCTCTGAGACCACCTCCTCTCGGCAGCTCTCCCTCACAGTAACTCTCTGTTCTGCTGTTTCTTCTTTTCTGCTCCATGTGTCTCTTCTCACCTCCTCCACAGCCACTGAATTTCCCACCTCCTCATCCTCCTCCTCCTCTTCCTCATCCACCTCATACAGATCCGATAACTTTTCCTCGCTGTCCTCTTCTCCCATCTCCACCGACGTTTCACACACACATAATCCAGTTCTCATCTCACACATGTTGCAGATCCCTTCATTGCATTCTCGTGCATAATGTCCTTGTTTGCTACACCTATAGCACTTGAAGCTCGGACAGTCTCTCACCACATGCCCAGGTTGAATGCACAAGCGACACACCTTCACCTGTCTGTCATGGATTACTCGAAAGTGCTCCACTCCCCCCTCTGTCTCAAACTTCGTAGAATATGGCAGCAATTTGACGGTGTCTGTGAATTTGACTTTTAAGAATCTTGCCCCGTCTGCGATATCAGTTCCTGGCCACATTCTCCTTTTGATTCTTGAAACCGCCGTCACTCCCCATTCCATCAGCTTTCTGAATATATCTTCATCCTGGATATACTGTACGTTGGCAGGCCCAGGAACGAAACCACCATCTCAGTGTGACTTATTTCTTTCGCCATGATTCTGCTCTTTTTTTATCTTTAGTCCATCCAATACTTTCTCATTTCCTTTCTCCTCTTCCATTGTCAGCTCGTATTCTCATGGAGTTTTATATCTACATCCGATCACCACTCCACACTCCTCTCTTACTTTCTTCAACACTTCCATCATGGTGATTCTGTCCTCTCCCTCTATCTCCACCAGTACTGTTGGCCGCTTCTCATAATTTCTCTCACTTTGTTCACATTCGTCCTCCTTTTCTCTCACATTCCTCTTGTCCAATCTTCTTTCCTTCTCCATGTTCTCCATCTGCATTTTCCACCCTCTCAGCAATAGAAGTATTTATCCCCAAACAGCAAGAGCTGCTTGGGGATTAAATAACTCTACAGCACACCAAGGATTCCCAGCTCTTCCAAACAATCAATCTCCACCTGTTCTCTCCACTGACTCACTCACTTCCTGAATTCCACAAGAGGGCGCTCAGGGTGGTATGGTTGTAAGTGGGGACTGCCACAAAGAGTGGGCTATTTAGGCCAGTGTATTAGATAAGTAGTGAAGAAAACGTTAAAGCTTACAGCACCTGGTATTCCCAGGCGGTCTCCTATCCAAGTACTATCAAGGCCCGACCCTGCTTAGCTTCCGAGATCAGACAAGGTGGTATGGCCGTAAGCGGGGAAGGCCACAAAGAGTGGGCTATTTAAAGATCAGCCACTCTATAAGCCAGTGTATTAGATAAGTAGTCAAGAAAACGCTAAAGCTTACAGAACCTGGTATTCCCAGGTGGTTTCCTATCCAAGTACTAACCAAGCCCGACCCTGCTTAGCTTCCGAGATCAGACGAGATCGGTCGTAGACTTTTTTTTTATTATCAAAAGTATCAAATCCATACAATTCACATTTAAAATAGAGTATCATAACCATGAAAGCATTACATAAATACAAGATCCATCAATCCCATCACCATACGATTTCCATACATACATTCTTCCTACGCCTTATTTATCATGGCATTTTTGTTTCTTCCCTTTTAGAAATTTAAACTTAAATTTAAAATTTAAAATTTGTCATCCACACATACAAGCCCACATCCCTTAGTGAAAACTTTTTCAAAAACATCTTTGCTCAGATATTTCCACATTAAAAAAACATTCTTTCTCATCACAGTTTTGAACATCACATTAATGTCCACTTTTTTCCCTTCAAAATATGCCAAATTCCTTCTTGCCCAAATTGCATATCTTACATGACTTAAAATGTAATTACACAAATTAACCTTCATGTCTTTACAATTGTTAGTCACCGAATAAAAACAATTTTCTCCATTCATCCTTTATCAATTTTTTCAGTTTTTCATGAAAGACATCCAGCTCTTTACATTCAAAAAAGACATGCATTAATGTTTCTGTATCAGTCTTACATACATCACATTCTCTATTCACATTCTTGTTAATTTGATGAATCACCACCTTCGTATATATTCTATTGTCTTAATTTAAAATCTAAGTTTTCACACTCCAGTCCGTTATACTTGACACTTAAGTTCTTCCATATTGACTTTACATTAAATCCAGGGAACAGTTTTGGCCACACAGCTTCTGATGCAGGCAATTTAATTTCCTTTTCCACAAATATTCTAGATATAGTTTTCGTCATTATATCAGTCAGACATTTCTTTTCACCATTTTTTTGCACAATAAACATTTCTGGCACTCCCCAATTCCCCGGTTTAACAGTCTCTCTCTCTCAATCATTTCTGCCCAAATCCTGGGCAAGCTTGTTTTAATATTTTCACATACAGAATTCACTTTTGATTTTTCAATTTCGCCATCCCAATCCACCACGTTGTCATAAATAGCTCTATTTGGCAAAAACCCTCTCACATATTCATATGCCATATCCTTTACTTGTCTTACTCCCGCTTTCATGTACAGTCTATTATAAAACATTTTACCTTTCATCCGTATCTTTGGATTCAGAAATATTGGCTGCTTGTGTATTTGATTTATATTTTCACACTCATACCTCACGTCCATTAGAAACTCAGCCCATGCACTAAATACTTCTTGATAAAATAAGGGTATATTTTCAAACATTGGCTTCTTTAAGGCCATGAATACCCTTTCTTCTCCGCATCCACTACTTTTATCCAAAAAGTTTCTCATAAAACCTTTCCATCCATATTCCACTTTATCATATAAGTACTTCTTCATTATTTTCACTCTTATTGCTTTTCTTTTGACCTCTAAATCGATCAACTTTAAACCTCATTCCATATAGTCTGATATGAATGTATTTTTTTTTATATTTGAACCCCTTTCCCTCCCCATAAAAAATTATTCAGAACCTCCTTCATCTCATTTAACACCAAAACTGGCAAGTCAACTGCACCCAAAACATAATTACATTTAGTAAGCAGCAAGGAATTAACAACTATTACTTTACCCCTTAATCTTAATTCTCTTAATTTCCAAAAACGTAATACTTGTTTTATTTTATTTAAAATCCCTGTCCATGTAGCATCTCTTGCTTCTTTTGCATTTACTCCTATATTCACTCCTAAAATCCTTGTGTATTCTTCTGACTCACTCACTTCCTGAATTCCACAAGAGGGCGCTCAGGGTGGTATGGTTGTAAGTGGGGACTGCCACAAAGAGTGGGCTATTTAGGCCAGTGTATTAGATAAGTAGTGAAGAAAACGTTAAAGCTTACAGCACCTGGTATTCCCAGGCGGTCTCCTATCCAAGTACTATCCAGGCCCGACCCTGCTTAGCTTCCGAGATCAGACAAGGTGGTATGGCCGTAAGCGGGGAAGGCCACAAAGAGTGGGCTATTTAAAGATCAGCCACTCTATAAGCCAGTGTATTAGATAAGTAGTCAAGAAAACGCTAAAGCTTACAGAACCTGGTATTCCCAGGTGGTTTCCTATCCAAGTACTAACCAAGCCCGACCCTGCTTAGCTTCCGAGATCAGACGAGATCGGTCGTAGACTTTTTTTTTATTATCAAAAGTATCAAATCCATACAATTCACATTTAAAATAGAGTATCATAACCATGAAAGCATTACATAAATACAAGATCCATCAATCCCATCACCATACGATTTCCATACATACATTCTTCCTACGCCTTATTTATCATGGCATTTTTGTTTCTTCCCTTTTAGAAATTTAAACTTAAATTTAAAATTTAAAATTTGTCATCCACACATACAAGCCCACATCCCTTAGTGAAAACTTTTTCAAAAACATCTTTGCTCAGATATTTCCACATTAAAAAAACATTCTTTCTCATCACAGTTTTGAACATCACATTAATGTCCACTTTTTTCCCTTCAAAATATGCCAAATTCCTTCTTGCCCAAATTGCATATCTTACATGACTTAAAATGTAATTACACAAATTAACCTTCATGTCTTTACAATTGTTAGTCACCGAATAAAAACAATTTTCTCCATTCATCCTTTATCAATTTTTTCAGTTTTTCATGAAAGACATCCAGCTCTTTACATTCAAAAAAGACATGCATTAATGTTTCTGTATCAGTCTTACATACATCACATTCTCTATTCACATTCTTGTTAATTTGATGAATCACCACCTTCGTATATATTCTATTGTCTTAATTTAAAATCTAAGTTTTCACACTCCAGTCCGTTATACTTGACACTTAAGTTCTTCCATATTGACTTTACATTAAATCCAGGGAACAGTTTTGGCCACACAGCTTCTGATGCAGGCAATTTAATTTCCTTTTCCACAAATATTCTAGATATAGTTTTCGTCATTATATCAGTCAGACATTTCTTTTCACCATTTTTTTGCACAATAAACATTTCTGGCACTCCCCAATTCCCCGGTTTAACAGTCTCTCTCTCTCAATCATTTCTGCCCAAATCCTGGGCAAGCTTGTTTTAATATTTTCACATACAGAATTCGCTTTTGATTTTTCAATTTCGCCATCCCAATCCACCACGTTGTCATAAATAGCTCTATTTGGCAAAAACCCTCTCACATATTCATATGCCATATCCTTTACTTGTCTTACTCCCGCTTTCATGTACAGTCTATTATAAAACATTTTACCTTTCATCCGTATCTTTGGATTCAGAAATATTGGCTGCTTGTGTATTTGATTTATATTTTCACACTCATACCTCACGTCCATTAGAAACTCAGCCCATGCACTAAATACTTCTTGATAAAATAAGGGTATATTTTCAAACATTGGCTTCTTTAAGGCCATGAATACCCTTTCTTCTCCGCATCCACTACTTTTATCCAAAAAGTTTCTCATAAAACCTTTCCATCCATATTCCACTTTATCATATAAGTACTTCTTCATTATTTTCACTCTTATTGCTTTTCTTTTGACCTCTAAATCGATCAACTTTAAACCTCATTCCATATAGTCTGATATGAATGTATTTTTTTTTATATTTGAACCCCTTTCCCTCCCCATAAAAAATTATTCAGAACCTCCTTCATCTCATTTAACACCAAAACTGGCAAGTCAACTGCACCCAAAACATAATTACATTTAGTAAGCAGCAAGGAATTAACAACTATTACTTTACCCCTTAATCTTAATTCTCTTAATTTCCAAAAACGTAATACTTGTTTTATTTTATTTAAAATCCCTGTCCATGTAGCATCTCTTGCTTCTTTTGCATTTACTCCTATATTCACTCCTAAAATCCTTGTGTATTCTTTTGTGACTTTAAAAGTAGTATCCCACCCGCTCATATCTACCCCTCCTATACTCATTATTTCCGATTTTTCTATATTAATTTTTGCTCCTGATGCTTTTCCGTATGTTTCAAAATGTTTCATTATTCTTTTTATACTTTCCATATCTCTTACTGTAAATGTTGTGTCATCTGCGTACTGGTGAATTAAACTCAATCCCCCATGTGGTACTGGAATTCCTCTTATTTCCCCATCTCTCTTTACCAGTGTTGCCAGCGGCTCAACTGACATTGAATACAGCATCGCAGACAGCGGACATCCCTGCCTCACTGATCTTTCTAGTGGAAAGGGATTCGTTAAAACACCATTTACTTTTACACAACTTTTTGCATTATTATATAGCAGATGTATCCACCTCAGAATCCTCTCCCCAAATCCAAATTTCCTCATTGTTTGTTCCATAAAACCGTGCTCTACCCTATCAAAGGCTTTATTTAGATCCATGCATAAAACCAAACCCCCTTCCCCATCTTTATCCATACTACCACTACATCCCTTATTGTACATATTGTATCTGTAATGTCCCTTCCTGGTATACTGTATGCTTGATTTGGCGATATTATACTCCCCACTACTCCTTTTATTCTATTAGCTAAAACTTTTGTCAGAATTTTATAATCAGTGTTTAAAAGACTTAAAGGTCTGTAATTGTTCAAACTAAGTGGACTACCTTTATTCTTGTACAGAATAGCAATTACCCCCAAACCCATTGATTCTGGTACCTCACTTCTCTCTTCCATACTCCTAAATAACCTAATCAATATCGGTGCTAAAATCTCTATGAATGTCTTATAAAACTCATGCGTTAAACCATCTGATCCTGGACTTTTATTCGGCTTTGTTTGTTTTATTGCTTCTTTTATTTCTTCGATACTTATGTCTCCTTCACACTTATTTCTTTCTACAATCAGATAAACTAGCACTTACAGTATTTAAAACTTCATCCACACATTCTTGTTTTACATTTTCTTTCTTGAAGAGTTTCTTATAAAATGATTCTACTACTTCTATTATTTCTACATAATCTGTTACCTTTTCCCCTTCTTCATTTTCCAACTCTGTAATATAATTTTTTCTCTGTTTTTTTTCTCTAAATTCAGAAAATACTTTGTGCACCTTTCCCCCTCCACCGCATACTGTGCTCTGCTCCGGTAACACTTTCACCGGTAACACTTTACAATAAGGTTCATTAGTTAACATTAGTTAACCACTTTAGTTAACATGAACTAAGCATGAACAATACTTCTACAGCATTTATTAATCTTAGTTAATGTTAATTTCAACATTTACTACTGCATTATTAAAATCAAAAGTTGTGCTTGTTAACATTAGTTAATGCACTGTGAATTAACATGAACTAACTATGAACAACTGTATTTTCGTTAACCTTAACAAAGATTAATACATACTGTAATAAATGTATTGTTCATTGTTTGTTCATGTTAGTTAATACATTAACTAACATTAACTAATGGAACCTTATTGTAAAGTGTTACCTCTGCTCCTCACTATTGCACTTTTCCTTTTCATACATCTCCATTTCTGCTTTTATCCAAAAGAAATGTTCTTTTGTATACTTAGAGTTATTTTCTATTTTCTCTGCTTCTTTCGCCATCATACTTCCCATGACCTCCATTTCCCTCTTTCTCATAAAATTCCTCTGTTTTGAATATCTTATACTTTTTTTTTTAATTTTCCCTTTCATTATTTCCCACCACTCACACACATTCTCTTCGAATAATGAATTTTCAATTTCACCCCTTATACATCTGTTAATACTTTTCCTGTAAGCTTCTTCCTTTAATAAAGATGAGTTCAGACTCAACATTCCTCCACCTCTTGCTTCCATATTTACACCCATCTTTACTGTCATGGCAGCATGATCACTTACTCCAATAAACTTATATCTCACATTTTTCACATAATGTAATATTTCCTTTTTAACTAAACATAAATCTATTTGACTTTGTTTTAAATTTCCCAGCACCATTTGCTTTCTTGAAAATTCCTTTTTAAATGGGTTCTCCTCTCTCCAGGCATCTACCATGTCCTCACTTTGCATTAATTCATTTAAAATCTTTCTGGACACATCTGATTTGAAATTTGCACTTCTAGACACATCAAGTCTTGTGCACCACACATTAAAATCTCCAACCACTATACAGTTGCCTGTACATAATGGCTTAATTTGCTTAACTCATTTTCTTTCAATTTCTACATTAGGTGCATATAAATTAACCAATCTAAATAGGTCATTGTAGAACATAAAATCTATTCCTAACAGTCTTCCTTTACCATCATTATATATTTGCTTTACATTATATATTCCTCCTCTTTTTATCAGAATCGCCACACCACAAGCCCTCTGATTTCCATGATTTACATAAATATCATCTTCCCAGATTTTTTTTATATTAACCATTATGTCCTCAGACCAATGTGTCTCTTGTAAACAAATTACATCTGTTTTAAGCTTTCCAATCACCTGCTCAAACTTATTAATGTCTCTGAGACCATTACAGTTCAAGCAGGCAATGCTCATTATGTCTCACATTGCATATAATAAAAATACAAGGAGACAACACATAAAAAAATATCAAGTTCTTACTTTTTTTGCATAGCATTATTCGACTCCTTTCATTTTCCTTTTCAGCAACTTGATACTTCCTTCACTTGTGTCCAATTCCTCTTCCAAATTTATCAGTGGAGTCTCTAAAACCTCCGTCACCCTTTCTCTTCCGCTTTCCTTCCTCTTTAAACTCCTCTTCTTGGAGCTTTGTTCCTTGATTTTTTTACAATCATCCCCTTCACTTTTACCACCACTTTTGGTTGACCCTCCATCTTTCTCTTCGGTCATCTTTTCCCATTGCCATGCTTTAAACTTTCCATCTCCTCTCGGGTTGGAGTTAACATCAGCTCTGTTGCTCTCTTTCTCAGCCGTCCGTTGTCCTGCTGTTAAATCTCCATGCGTCCTCTTTCTCCTCTTCCTCCGCTGTTAAAATCCCCTCCGACTCTTCATAAAGATCAACGAAGCTTCCCCCGCTATCTTCCTCCTTCCTCTCTTCTGAAATTTTGCATACGCAAAATGCAGTCCTCATCCTGCACACGCTGCAGTTTCCCTCATTGCATTCCCGCACATAGTGTCCCTGCTTGCCACACTTAAAGCATTTAAAGTTTGGACAGTCTCTCACTATGTGTCCAGGTTGAATGCACAGACGGCAAACTTTTACCTGTCTGTCATGAATGACTCGAAAGTGCTCAGTTCCTCCCAAAGTCTGAAACTTTGTTGAATATGGCAGCGATTTAACAGTATCCGTGAACTTGACTTTCAGGAATCTTGATCCATCTGCTATGTCAGTCCCTGGCCACATTCTTTTTTAATTGTTGAAACAGCTGCGACTCCCCAATCAGTTAGTTTTCCCATTATCTCCTCATCTTGAATATACGTCGGCAGGTTTAGGAATGAAACCACCATCTCATTATTGCTTATTTCCTTTGCCATCAACCGACTATTCTTTATCTTTAGCCCATCCAGTACTTTGTCTTTTCCTTTCTCTTTATTCATTGTCAGTTCATATTCTCTTGGATTTTTATACCTGCAACCGATTACCACTCAACATTCTTCTCTTACTTTTTTCAGCAACTCAATCATCGTGATTCTGTCTTCCCCCACTATCTCCACAAACACTGTTAATCTCTTCTCATAGTTTCGTCTTCTTGATACATCTTCATCTTCATTCTCTGTCATATTCTGTTTGCCTTGTCCTTTGTCCATCTCCATGTTATCTGTACGTATCATTTAGCAACTCAAAAAAAAGAAAAGTTAAAGCTACACAACTGATAAACTGTTTTTTTTTAGATAATGAAAGCAAACAAACCCAAAAAACTAAATGTTTTTTCAAACAATCACTCTCCACCTGCTCTCTGCACCAGTACTCTCACTTCCTGATTAGCTCAATTGCGCCCTCAGGCAGGGACTGCCACAAAGAGTGGGCTATTTAAAGATCAGCCACTCTATAAATTCAAAACATTTTTATCCTTTTATTGGGTTTCTTTTGATTGCTGACTGTCTTCACTGATTGCTTAGAGTGTGGACCATGTAATTCCAGTGTACAGAGTTTTTCATGTTCTCAGAATTTTGTGTAATTCTAGGGGGGTGAGTGTAACAGGTATGGAAAGTAATATATTCATTTCATATGTAGAATTACACAAAAATGTTCACGATGTATACCTGATATGCCTGTCTGTGTGTGTGCACTTCCCCATTAAATTTCTGACAGCAGCGTTAATCTTAATTTCCTGTCTTTGCACCTCCTCTTCCCTTTCTGCACTGTTTCTGCATGGGAGAGGTGGGATTTTAACGAGCTCTGATTAATCTAATTTCATCTTTGCTTAAAATCACTTTTATACTTTTATACTCTGTTTAAATCATATTTGTTACATTATTTTACGTGTATATTTGATTATTTCTGTATTTTCACTAAGTTTGATCAGTTTTGATCGATGCACTTGAAGCACGTGCTAATTGCGTTGCACTTTACATTCATTTAACAGAAAGGACAATGTAGGGTATCAGACCGAATCAGACAATTTAAGATTTGATCAAGAACATAGTTGAAACACGAGGAGCCGAATTCCACAGAGGCCCAAGACACAGGATGTTCGTAAATCAGATCCTGGCGCCACAAGCCTGAAGCAAGCCCACCAACTAACAGCTTTGAGTAGCTCACAGCATTTAAACAAAAGAACACTTATTGACAATTCCAAGGAGATTGTCATTTTTGGGGCAAGTAATCAAGATTAAATGGTCAGAGATGCACAGCATGACCATCACATATAAACCAGTGACAATCACGAGCTCTTTGGATTGACTTCCCCCACCTTCTCATAAAACCTTTCCATCCATATTCCACTTTATCATATAAGTACTTCTTCATTATTTTCACTCTTATTGCTTTTCTTTTGACCTCTAAATCGATCAACTTTAAACCTCATTCCATATAGTCTGATATGAATGTATTTTTTTTATATTTGAACCCCTTTCCCTCCCCATAAAAAATTATTCAGAACCTCCTTCATCTCATTTAACACCAAAACTGGCAAGTCAACTGCACCCAAAACATAATTACATTTAGTAAGCAGCAAGGAATTAACAACTATTACTTTACCCCTTAATCTTAATTCTCTTAATTTCCAAAAACGTAATACTTGTTTTATTTTATTTAAAATCCCTGTCCATGTAGCATCTCTTGCTTCTTTTGCATTTACTCCTATATTCACTCCTAAAATCCTTGTGTATTCTTTTGTGACTTTAAAAGTAGTATCCCACCCGCTCATATCTACCCCTCCTATACTCATTATTTCCGATTTTTCTATATTAATTTTTGCTCCTGATGCTTTTCCGTATGTTTCAAAATGTTTCATTATTCTTTTTATACTTTCCATATCTCTTACTGTAAATGTTGTGTCATCTGCGTACTGGTGAATTAAACTCAATCCCCCATGTGGTACTGGAATTCCTCTTATTTCCCCATCTCTCTTTACCAGTGTTGCCAGCGGCTCAACTGACATTGAATACAGCATCGCAGACAGCGGACATCCCTGCCTCACTGATCTTTCTAGTGGAAAGGGATTCGTTAAAACACCATTTACTTTTACACAACTTTTTGCATTATTATATAGCAGATGTATCCACCTCAGAATCCTCTCCCCAAATCCAAATTTCCTCATTGTTTGTTCCATAAAACCGTGCTCTACCCTATCAAAGGCTTTATTTAGATCCATGCATAAAACCAAACCCCCTTCCCCATCTTTATCCATACTACCACTACATCCCTTATTGTACATATTGTATCTGTAATGTCCCTTCCTGGTATACTGTATGCTTGATTTGGCGATATTATACTCCCCACTACTCCTTTTATTCTATTAGCTAAAACTTTTGTCAGAATTTTATAATCAGTGTTTAAAAGACTTAAAGGTCTGTAATTGTTCAAACTAAGTGGACTACCTTTATTCTTGTACAGAATAGCAATTACCCCCAAACCCATTGATTCTGGTACCTCACTTCTCTCTTCCATACTCCTAAATAACCTAATCAATATCGGTGCTAAAATCTCTATGAATGTCTTATAAAACTCATGCGTTAAACCATCTGATCCTGGACTTTTATTCGGCTTTGTTTGTTTTATTGCTTCTTTTATTTCTTCGATACTTATGTCTCCTTCACACTTATTTCTTTCTACAATCAGATAAACTAGCACTTACAGTATTTAAAACTTCATCCACACATTCTTGTTTTACATTTTCTTTCTTGAAGAGTTTCTTATAAAATGATTCTACTACTTCTATTATTTCTACATAATCTGTTACCTTTTCCCCTTCTTCATTTTCCAACTCTGTAATATAATTTTTTCTCTGTTTTTTTTCTCTAAATTCAGAAAATACTTTGTGCACCTTTCCCCCTCCACCGCATACTGTGCTCTGCTCCGGTAACACTTTCACCGGTAACACTTTACAATAAGGTTCATTAGTTAACATTAGTTAACCACTTTAGTTAACATGAACTAAGCATGAACAATACTTCTACAGCATTTATTAATCTTAGTTAATGTTAATTTCAACATTTACTACTGCATTATTAAAATCAAAAGTTGTGCTTGTTAACATTAGTTAATGCACTGTGAATTAACATGAACTAACTATGAACAACTGTATTTTCATTAACCTTAACAAAGATTAATACATACTGTAATAAATGTATTGTTCATTGTTTGTTCATGTTAGTTAATACATTAACTAACATTAACTAATGGAACCTTATTGTAAAGTGTTACCTCTGCTCCTCACTATTGCACTTTTCCTTTTCATACATCTCCATTTCTGCTTTTATCCAAAAGAAATGTTCTTTTGTATACTTAGAGTTATTTTCTATTTTCTCTGCTTCTTTCTCCATCATACTTCCCATGACCTCCATTTCCCTCTTTCTCATAAAATTCCTCTGTTTTGAATATCTTATACTTTTTTTTTAAATTTTCCCTTTCATTATTTCCCACCACTCACACACATTCTCTTCGAATAATGAATTTTCAATTTCACCCCTTATACATCTGTTAATACTTTTCCTGTAAGCTTCTTCCTTTAATAAAGATGAGTTCAGACTCAACATTCCTCCACCTCTTGCTTCCATATTTACACCCATCTTTACTGTCATGGCAGCATGATCACTTACTCCAATAAACTTATATCTCACATTTTTCACATAATGTAATATTTCCTTTTTAACTAAACATAAATCTATTTGACTTTGTTTTAAATTTCCCAGCACCATTTGCTTTCTTGAAAATTCCTTTTTAAATGGGTTCTCCTCTCTCCAGGCATCTACCATGTCCTCACTTTGCATTAATTCATTTAAAATCTTTCTGGACACATCTGATTTGAAATTTGCACTTCTAGACACATCAAGTCTTGTGCACCACACATTAAAATCTCCAACCACTATACAGTTGCCTGTACATAATGGCTTAATTTGCTTAACTCATTTTCTTTCAATTTCTACATTAGGTGCATATAAATTAACCAATCTAAATAGGTCATTGTAGAACATAAAATCTATTCCTAACAGTCTTCCTTTACCATCATTATATATTTGCTTTACATTATATATTCCTCCTCTTTTTATCAGAATCGCCACACCACAAGCCCTCTGATTTACATAATTTACATAAATATCATCTTCCCAGATTTTTTTTATATTAACCATTATGTCCTCAGACCAATGTGTCTCTTGTAAACAAATTACATCTGTTTTAAGCTTTCCAATCACCTGCTCAAACTTATTAATGTCTCTGAGACCATTACAGTTCAAGCAGGCAATGCTCATTATGTCTCACATTGCATATAATAAAAATACAAGGAGACAACACATAAAAAAATATCAAGTTCTTACTTTTTTTGCATAGCATTATTCGACTCCTTTCATTTTCCTTTTCAGCAACTTGATACTTCCTTCACTTGTGTCCAATTCCTCTTCCAAATTTATCAGTGGAGTCTCTAAAACCTCCGTCACCCTTTCTCTTCCGCTTTCCTTCCTCTTTAAACTCCTCTTCTTGGAGCTTTGTTCCTTGATTTTTTTACAATCATCCCCTTCACTTTTACCACCACTTTTGGTTGACCCTCCATCTTTCTCTTCGGTCATCTTTTCCCATTGCCATGCTTTAAACTTTCCATCTCCTCTCGGGTTGGAGTTAACATCAGCTCTGTTGCTCTCTTTCTCAGCCGTCCGTTGTCCTGCTGTTAAATCTCCATGCGTCCTCTTTCTCCTCTTCCTCCGCTGTTAAAATCCCCTCCGACTCTTCATAAAGATCAACGAAGCTTCCCCCGCTATCTTCCTCCTTCCTCTCTTCTGAAATTTTGCATACGCAAAATGCAGTCCTCATCCTGCACACGCTGCAGTTTCCCTCATTGCATTCCCGCACATAGTGTCCCTGCTTGCCACACTTAAAGCATTTAAAGTTTGGACAGTCTCTCACTATGTGTCCAGGTTGAATGCACAGACGGCAAACTTTTACCTGTCTGTCATGAATGACTCGAAAGTGCTCAGTTCCTCCCAAAGTCTGAAACTTTGTTGAATATGGCAGCGATTTAACAGTATCCGTGAACTTGACTTTCAGGAATCTTGATCCATCTGCTATGTCAGTCCCTGGCCACATTCTTTTTTAATTGTTGAAACAGCTGCGACTCCCCAATCAGTTAGTTTTCCCATTATCTCCTCATCTTGAATATATGTCGGCAGGTTTAGGAATGAAACCACCATCTCATTATTGCTTATTTCCTTTGCCATCAACCGACTATTCTTTATCTTTAGCCCATCCAGTACTTTGTCTTTTCCTTTCTCTTTATTCATTGTCAGTTCATATTCTCTTGGATTTTTATACCTGCAACCGATTACCACTCAACATTCTTCTCTTACTTTTTTCAGCAACTCAATCATCGTGATTCTGTCTTCCCCCACTATCTCCACAAACACTGTTAATCTCTTCTCATAGTTTCGTCTTCTTGATACATCTTCATCTTCATTCTCTGTCATATTCTGTTTGCCTTGTCCTTTGTCCATCTCCATGTTATCTGTACGTATCATTTAGCAACTCAAAAAAAAGAAAAGTTAAAGCTACACAACTGATAAACTGTTTTTTTTTAGATAATGAAAGCAAACAAACCCAAAAAACTAAATGTTTTTTCAAACAATCACTCTCCACCTGCTCTCTGCACCAGTACTCTCACTTCCTGATTAGCTCAATTGCGCCCTCAGGCAGGGACTGCCACAAAGAGTGGGCTATTTAAAGATCAGCCACTCTATAGGCCAGTGTATTAGATGAGTAGTGAAGAAAATGCTAAAGCTTACAGCACCTGGTATTCCCAGGCAGTCTGGGTATTCCCAGGCATGTTAAAGTCTGTATTTAGCATTGTTATTGGTCTGTAATTTTTTTAATCTTTCTTATCTCCTCTTTTCTTATATATTAATTTAATAACTCCAATCCCCATACAATTACTTGTTTCTTCCCTTTTAAACATCTCATCATATACTTCTTTTAAAATTGGTGTCAACACTTCCTTAAAATATGTGTAAAACTCACTTGGTAAACCATCTCTTCCAGGACTCTTTCCATTATTCAATTGCATTATAGCACACTCTTTCTTCTTTTCCTATCTCCTCATCAATCATTTTTTTATCATCTAAATTCAATTTGTTCTTTATATTTGCTATTAAAAATTATTTTTCTGTCATTAAAATTTGTTCTTTACTAAACAACTTTTTGTAAAATTTTGTTATTTCTTTTAAAATATCTTCTGTTTCTTTTACCATCTCACCTTTTTCTCCTTTTATTTCTTTGATCATCCCTTCTCTCTGTCTACTTTTTTCTAGATTAAAGAAAAGCTTTGTGCATTTTTCCCCTTCTACTACATATTTTGCCCTGCTTCTTAGCATCTCCCCTCTAAATTTCCTTTCTTCTATTCCTTTAAGTTTTTCTTCTAATATTACAATTGTTTGCACATTTTCTCTTCCCTCAATTAAAATATCTTTTAATTATTTTCTTATTTCCTTCTCTTTAAAATTCCTTGCCCTCTTCACCATTTTGCTAAAAATCGTTTGCATATTTCCTGATTTCATATTTAACATTATCCCACCATATTATTTTGTCTTCTTTGTACAATTGATTTTTCTGTTCTTCTTTTATTAATTTTTCTATTCCTTCTTTAAAACTAATTTCCTTTAAGAGCTCTGTATTTAAAATCCATAATCCTGGCCCTCTCTTCATTGTACTCAAATCAACCTGTGCCCATAAAATTTTAATTCTAATTCTTTTTTTAGATTTTCTTTTTCTTTAATTTAAATTTTAATTTCTTTGTAATAAATATTATCAACCACCTTCATAAAACCCCTTTTACATATTATAAAATCTATTCTACTTGCACACATAACATTTTGAACTACTTGTTGCCTTCACTGATTCCTTCGTTTCTTTCTCTCCATATATCCACCACGTCATTTTCTTCCATTATACACTTAAATTCCCTGAGCCCTCTATCTGATTTAAAAACCGTGCCCTCTGCAATATCCATTTTGCTAAACACAGTATTAAAATCTTCAATTATTAAAAACTCCTTCCATTTTTCCATAACAGTCTTCAATCTTTTAAAAAAAGACACTTTTTCCTTTTCTATAACTGGTGCATGTACATTGCATAAAATGATTTTCCTCCCCCCTTCTTCTATTTCCACTGCCAAACATTTCCCTTCTTCATCATTATACACTACTCGCACATCCTCACACACCCCTTTTTTGATTAAGATTGCTACTCCTCTCTCTCTTCTCCCATCTCCATTGTTACATAAAACATCCCCTTTCCATAACTTTTTAAAATCATTCATTACTTCAACTCTCCAGTTCGTCTCTTGAAACATCATCATTAGTTCCGTATAATACCTCAAATCTGTTTTGGTTACATTCACCTCTATTTATCTCTTTTTCTTTTATTTTCATTTTCATTAAATGTCTTCTTTTAGCTTTTTCAAAGTTCGGCTTTACCTTTAACAGTCGTCTTCTTGTTATTGACACTTAATCCTTTGCATATTTCCTGATTTCATATTTAACATTATCCCACCATATTATTTTGTCTTCTTTGTACAATTGATTTTTCTGTTCTTCTTTTATTAATTTTTCTATTCCTTCTTTAAAACTAATTTCCTTTAAGAGCTCTGTATTTAAAATCCATAATCCTGGCCCTCTCTTCATTGTACTCAAATCAACCTGTGCCCATAAAATTTTATGATCACTTAATGATGTTTCTTTGTAATAAATATGATCAACCATCTTCATAAAATCCCTTTTACATAATATAAAATCTATTCTACTTGCACACATAACATTTTGAACTACTTGTTGCCTTCACTGATTCCTTCGTTTCTTTCTCTCCATATATCCACCACATAATTTTCTTCCATTATACACTTAAATTCCCTGAGCCCTCTATCTGATTTAAAAACCATGCCCTCTGCAATATCCATTTTGCTAAACACAGTATTAAAATCTCCAATTATTAAAAACTCCTTCCATTTTTCCATAACAGTCTTCAATCTTTTAAAAAAAGACACTTTTTCCTTTTCTATAACTGGTGCATGTACATTGCATAAAATTATTTTCCTCCCCCCTTCTTCTATTTCCACTGCCAAACATTTCCCTTCTTCATCATTATACACTACTCGCACATCCTCACACACCCCTTTTTTGATTAAGATTGCTACTCCTCTCCCTCTTCTCCCATCTCCATTGTTACATAAAACATCCCCTTTCCATAACTTTTTAAAATCATTCATTACTTCAACTCTCCAGTTCGTCTCTTGAAACATCATCATTAGTTCCGTATAATACCTCAAATCTGTTTTGGTTACATTCACCTCTATTTATCTCTTTTTCTTTTATTTTCATTTTCATTAAATGTCTTCTTTTAGCTTTTTCAAAGTTCGGCTTTA